GTGTACGGCTTCATGATCCATGGGAGCAAGGGGTAGGGTGGGTCCCCAAGGATAACTATTGGCATTTCAACATCCCCGACAGTAATTTTCTGGTCTGGGAAGTAAGTCCCTTCTTGCAGCTGCTCGAACAGCCCGGCATTCCTAAAGATGCGAGCGTCACATCCCTTGTGATCTACCAGTGCTTGCAGCACCATTGAGAAGTACCCCTTGCAGTTTATGTACTGGTTGGCAAGGTGGTTTGGTGCCAAGATAGGGATATGCGTTCATTCTCTTGCCCCACCACAGTTAGGGAACCCCATTGCAGCAAAGCCATCCACTGTGAGCTGCACATTTCCCAGAGTCCCTACCTTTGCTAGCAGAAGGTCAGTGATTGCATTGGCTACTTGGATCACAGCAGCCCCCACAGTAGAGTTGCCCACTCCAAATTGATTCCCAACTGCTGGGTAGCAGTCAGGCATTGCAAGCTTCCACAGGGCTATCACCACTCGCTTCTCAACTGTCAGGGCAGTTCTCATCTTGGTATTCCTGCGCTTCAGGGCGGGCGAAAGCAACTCACAAAGTTCCAGGAAAGTAGCCTTACGCGTGCGAAAGTTTCGCAGCCAGTGGGAATCATCCAATACCCACCAGTCTGTGCTTCATTGCTGGGCCCAGAATCGGTGTTCCACTGTATCAACCTGCCCCACTGCCACCATGATGTCCCAATTGCCAGATCCCATGCTTTCAGGAACATCTGTATCCATGTCCTCACAATCATCCTCATGCTAGTGTCTCCTAGCCAGGTTCTGCGCATACTGCAGTATAATGCACGAGGTGTTTACAATGCTCACAACACCAGCGGTGAGCTGAGTGGGCTGCATGCTTGCCATGATATGGCATCTGCATGGGTAACCAAGGAAAAAAGTATCAGAGGGGTAGCCGTGTTAGTCTGAATCTGTAAAAAGCAACAGAGGGTCCTGTGGCACCTTTGAGACTAACAGAAGTACTGGGAGCATAAGCTTTCGTGGGTAAGAACCTCACTTCTTCAGATGCAAGAAGATGCACCTCTTGCATCTGAAAAAGAGAGGTTCTTACCCACGAAAGCTTATGCTCCCAGTACTTC